CCCCCCCCAGCCGTACCCCGCCTGGTCGTGGGTTACGTGGGTAGCTGGCGGGTGGACGACACTGCCGGGTAGGGGGGGGCGGGCAAGGAGGGACAAGAGGAGCTGACTGCATCTCTCCAACCTTGCAGGGTCGCCTGGAGATGTGGGTGGACATGTTCCCCATGGACATGCCAGCGCCCGGCCCTGCCACTGATATTTCCCCCAGGAAACCAAAGAAGTAAGGAACCTCCCAGCCAACCAACCCCAGGGAAAACTCAAGGCTGGGGATGGAGCCCTGCTTCTCCCCTCTCCTGCTGCCGCTCCATGGCCCAGCCCAGCCATCCGACTGGGTACCTCAACCATGCTGGCATTTCCAGAGATCCCAAGACCGGAGGCAATATCAAGTGATGTCTTCCCTTTCCAGAGCTGCTACTGAAGGGTGGTATCCCGCCTGATCCATCCCCTGCAGCTCCCGATCTCTCTCGTCTTTGTAGACTAGGAAATTAAATTGTTACCCAGTCCCCGGCACAGGGCTGGGTCAGACCAGCATGCCCAGCCCTGACGCCCTCCCATCAGGGGCAGGGTTAGCCCAGGGCAAGGCATCCCTGGGCAGTTTGGATGGGCCTTTTCCAGGAGGTGATGGCTGCTGCCCAGGGCAGGGAAGGTTACTGGGATAGAGTTGGTCAATCCAAGCAGGACAGAGCAGGCAACAGGCAGCGTAATAAAGAGTTCTTCCCTCCCCACCCTGCCCTCTCCCAACTCATTTAGAGAGAATAAAGACATTTCTTCCCTCAGCATCCCTCCTGGCCCTGCCTTACCCTGCTAGAGTCTGTCCTTGGGCCTCTTTTCCCACCCCCAGGGCCGGGATACAGGGACAGCACTGGCCATCCTGGTGGGAGTCGCTTGCACTCCTGTGCCCAGCAGACGATGCCTTGGATGGAGAGAATGTCCCTTGATCCCAGTGGGCTGCAGATGGGGTCTGAACAGCAGGACAGGCAGCTGCAGGAAAGCTGAGGCCAAGGGCAAGGTCCAGAGAGCAGCACAGACTGGAAAAGCAGAGGGTTGGCTACAGCGCAGCCCAGGGCAGCCATGCTCAGCAGTGACCCATGAGCTGGAGCTGAAATGTTCCTACTGATGGGCTGAAGAGAGGTTTTGCAGGTCGATAGCCTGTTTTAAGCAAGATTATGCCTGGTTGTCATCCTAGGGGTTTAAGCCATCTTTGTTGGGAGCACCTGGCACCCCCTGAGACCAGCCGTAGGTGCTGGAGAGGCAGAGCGTGGGACAAGCTCCCACCCACGGGTGCAGACAGGAGAGGGCTGGGGCTGGGGGAGATGGCAGGAGTCCCACAGCTGGGCTCAGCCAGGGCATTGCCAGAGGCAGATACCAGAGGAGGCGGGTTAAGGAAGCTGTAAATCCCCTTCCCCTCGCCTGCAGGACTCCCTGGTACTTGTAGTGATGTGTTCTGCTTGCAGCTGCGTTTCTCTGCCACCGCCCTCCAGCTTTTCCACCTTGCAGCTGCACCCTGCGAGGAATCTTCTGCTCTTCCTCCACCCGCTCCCACCAGAGCTGCCTTCTCCATCACCAAAATTCCCAGCCAAGCCGAATGTGACTGGGAAACCCCAGGTTGCTGCACACAAAAGGCAGTGTTGGGAATATCTCAGAGTCTCTGAGCCTGCTGCAGTCCTAAAAAGGACTGCGATGCCCCGCGGGCTGCCCTGGACGTGGGAGCAGGGTCCGCTTCTGAAGGCAGCAACAAATCCCCCCCATTTCTAAGGGGGGACAGCCCTGCTGAGTAAGGGGGGAAAAAAACGGGAAGAGAGCTGGACTCAGCCTGTTTTGCAGCCCCCATTTTAGCCACAAATCTACCAAAGACCCTTTGGCTTGGGCCTTGCAGAGGTTCCGAGCAGAGGTAAAAGCTCCTCTTGCTGCTCTGCTCACCCTGCCTGGGCTGAACTGAGCTTACGTGGAGATCCTCCTCCTGTTCTTGCCCTCGTGATCCCTCGGATAAGATCCCTGTGAGCAGTTCCCTGCCATCTCGGTGCCTGGCCCCAGTTTCTGGCAGCGTCACCCCATTCCCTCCTGCCCCTTTGCCTGCCCCCTGTGCCTCACCTCGTCTCCCTTCCTCCTGCCAGATATGAGCTTAGAGTGATAGTGTGGAACACAGACGAGGTCATCCTGGAGGACGACGACTACTTCACTGGCGAGAAATCCAGTGACATTTTTGTCAGGGGGTAGGTACAGCGTGGCATGCCAGCACCACCTCCTCTGCTTCCCCCTGCGGGGTGCTAGCGCTCGCTGGGGTCCCCGGGGTGGTTTTGGAGTGGGGAGGGGGGTACGACATGGACTGTGGTGCAGGGTCAGATAGCGCCAGCGCTGCCAGTGTCTCCTGTGCTGTGTTTCTTGCCTCTCCACCTCTCGGCTGCACGCGGGTTGTTATCTGCAACACCGATGAGGTGTTTTGGGGTGATGATGCTTTCCTGGTGGGAGAGAAGATGTTTGACATCTATGTCAGGGGATAACGGCCAAGGCCTCTCTGCTTGGTCCTGTCTGCCCCTCTTCCCCTTTTTGAGCTTCTCTTATAGAATCATAGAATCGTGTAGGTTGGAAAAGACCTTTAAGATCATCCAGTCCAACCATTAACCTACACTACCAAGTCTACTCTAAGCCAATCAAGGGTAGACTAGACTAAACCATGTCCCCAAGTGCCACATCTACCCGTCTCTACACATCTACCACATCTACTCTTGATGGTCCCACTTGGCATTTCAGCCCTGCAACCTCCAATTCCAGCATCTGGAGCCAAACTGTGGTTAGTTCACATCTGTCCTTCACTCTCACCCAGGAGTAAGGGAAAGCCCCTTCCAAAACTCGCCCGTACAGCGACGAGGGGAGCCACAGCTGCTCATACCCCAATTCTTTACAGGACCTCAAATCAACGCAATGGCATTTCAGGCTGGTGGCTAACTATGCAGTGATTTCCCACCAGTCTGTTAAAGTGCTTGGTGCTTCCTCTGCAGCCTCGCCAGCTCAGGCCAGCTCTCCTCTACTTGCACCTCGTGCTGCTCTCACAAAACTGGGTCTGTTTTGGCATCTCAGGTCCTATCAGCCCAGTAGCTTTTCTGCAAGGGCTCTGAACCTGAGATGCTCCAGCCCTTCCCCATCTGTGTGGTGGGGGATCACTTGACCTTTGCGTTTTGCAGGGCAGAGCAGGGCATCGGCACGCTCAGAGCCTGAATGAACAGCCCTGAATTGGGTGCCCGAACATGGAGTCGTGTCCCTGCAGGCTGAAGCCCCTCAGGACAAAAACAAAATAAAACAAAACAAAACAAAACAAAAAAAAAACAAAACCAAAACTGAGAGCATCCTGGGGAATGGAGATGCCTTGGCTCATCAGAGAAAGGGGCTGGTGGGCACTCACAGTCTTTAAAACAAAGCTGTGTTTCCCCAGGACCCAGCCTTCCTGGTATGGACCATCCTCTGTGTCCCTTTTGCTCTGGGAATCCTGTGCACAGGAGCCAGAAAACTAGGGGCACAAGGAGATGTGATGGCAAGGGCGACATGGCCACCCCATCTCCCAGGGCAGCCGGACTGGGACCCCACTGTCTCCAGTGACACCGGTGCCCATCTCAGCTGGGCACTTCAGGTCCCTTCATGGCAGATTCGGTCAGCAGAGACAAACCCACCCTCAAGCAGAGCCTGCAGCAGGCCCTCAATAGATCTGATGGCCTCAGATAGACGTGCCCCGTCACAGGGAGCCTGCGGTCACCAGCACAGACCGCTGCGTCCATACGGACAGTTGCCATCAAGGGAGCCCAAACTACCCCATGGTGGAGTGAGAAGGTCTCTACAGCCTCCTCTGGGCCTGTCTGCTCCAACAGTGCAGTTTTAAACTAAAGGAGGGGAGATTTAGACTGGATATAAGGAAGAAATTTTTTATGATAAGGGTGGTGAGACACTGGCACAGGTTGCCCAGCGCGGTGGGAGATGCCCCATCCCTGGAAACATTCCAGACCAGGTTGGACGGGGCTCTGAGCACCCTGCTCTGGTTGAAGATGTCCCTGCTCATGGCAGGGACGGGGTTAGGCTAGATGACCTTTAAAGGTCCCTTCCAACCCAAACCATTCTATGATTCTATGGGGACATCTTTCCAGCAGGCTCTGCTCCAGACTCCCCAGCAAAGCTCCTTGCTCCTGTCTACCTCTCTAACATCTCCCTGCCCAGAGAAAGAGCCCTGACAATCTGCTTTCATTTCTTGCTCTCTGACCCACCCTGTTCCTACTAGAGACATCATGCCCCCACGCCCATTCTGCCCCTTGGAGATGCTGCTGCGGTGATTTGAGCAGCCCCAGCCCATTGCTCACACCATCTAGGTCTTTCCAGTCTGTCCATGCCTTGCTGGACTGGAACATCCTGGCTGCACGCACAGGATGGTCCTGTGCCCTCTCCTCCCTCCTGTAACATGTGCCACCCCTCTCATCCCCCTGGGCCCTGCAGGTGGCTGAAGGGTCAGCAGGAGGACAAGCAAGACACGGACGTCCATTACCACTCACTCACTGGTGAAGGCAACTTCAACTGGCGCTACATCTTCCCCTTTGACTACCTGATGGCGGAGGAGAAGATTGTCATCTCCAAGAAGGAGTCCATGTTCTCCTGGGATGAGACCGAGTACAAGATCCCAGCTCGCCTCACCCTGCAGGTCTGGGATGCCGACCACTTCTCGGCCGACGATTTTCTCGGTAAGCTGGGGGTCTGCTGAGCTCGGGCAATGGGGTGGCCAACAGGGTTGGACAAGTAGGGAGCAGTGTGGAATGAGACAAAGCCTACATAGGAACTGAGCCTGGAAGGACAGCTCTGCTCCTCAAGTCCACAACATCCTACAAACCCCCTTTAGATGCTGCTGGTAAGAGCGGGTGGGATGAGAGCCCTCGTCTCCGCTGCTGCTGTTCAAAGGCTGCTCCTGTAGCAAAGATGTCAGCTTTTTAGTTCCCAGCGCTGGTTCAAAGTTGCTCTCCAGGGCAGGAGATGCTGGCCCAGCCCACCTCCAGCCAAGGACTTGGCATTTTGGGGGTGCAAACACCTGTGCTCCCTTTTCTCCTGCCAGGAGCCATCGAGCTGACCGCGGGGAGCCAAGACGTCGAAACAGTGCAGCCTGGAGATGGTGACGAACGAGGCAGAGCTGCCCATGATCTCCATCTTCAAGCAGAAGCGGGTGAAGGGCTGGTGGCCGTTTGTGGCCAGAGATGAGAATGATGAGCTGGAGATCACCGTAAGGATGGGGAAAAGGGAGGGATTTTGCATTCTGGGGACTGCACCCTTTGCAGACACTCTCCACCCCCCCTGCACTTGCCTCTGTTCCCTCAGGTCCCCTCTTGTCACATCTTGGGGGGCTGAGGTGGGGAGCATTGCCTGGGTCTCAGCACAACGCTCTGCTCCCTGCAGGGGAAAGTCGAGGCTGAACTGCACCTTCTGACGGCAGAGGAGGCAGAGAAATCCCCGGCTGGGCTGGCTCGCAACGAGCCTGATCCACTGGAGAAACCCAAGTGAGTAGGAAAGCCCGCTCCCCAGCAGGCTCCTGGGCTTCTGGGAGATGCTGTGGGGTGGTCCCCAGGGAGGGAGCCAAGCACGGGGGGGCGAGGAGGGGTTGCACTGGGGGATGTTGGAATGAGGGTTATGGGCAGAGCCATCTCTACTGGTCCCCCCCATTGCCTGCTCTTCACTGTCCCGCTGCTTTTCCTTACTCTATTCCTCCTCTGCCTCTTTTCTTGGCTCCATCCCCTTTCCTTGGCCTCCCACCTCCTCCTCCTCCCCTCCGGTCCTCACCATCAGAGTCCAGCTTCAGCTGGAATCCTCATGCTCCCTCACGAACCTGCATTACTCCATCTGGCGAGCATCATGCTGACTCCCCTTGTCCGCCCTCCTGATCCTCCTGGTTGGGGTCTTTCGCTCTGTGCAGGCTTACCCAGGGAAGGGGATCCCGCACCTCCTTTTGCCCACCATGTCCACTGTTGTACCGACTGCCATGCATCCCTTCTCCATGGCCGTGGTGTTAATGATGGGTATTTGCTTCCCCTGCAGCCGCCCGGACACGTCCTTCATCTGGTTCCTGAACCCCCTCAAGTCCATCAAATACCTCATCTGCACGCGCTACAAGTGGCTCATCATCAAAATCGTGCTGGCCCTGTTGCTCCTCATAATGATCGCCCTCTTCCTCTACAGCATGCCAGGCTACATGGTCAAGAAGCTGCTGGGAGCATGAAGCATGGGAGCCTCCCCCGTGTCCCCAGCCCCGCGCCACGACCTTCCCCATCCCCATGCCCTTCTCCTCCCCGCAGCCTCTCAGCAGCTTTGGGGGGCATCTCCTCCCTGCTGCTCCTGCTGCTGGGCCTCCTCTCTTGCATTCCTCTTCTATGGGTCCCATTCGTGGCTTTAGTCCCAGGGAAATGGGGCGGGAGGATGGCGCCGAGCCCCCAGCTGTGCGTCCCTCAGCGGGGCTGGGAGAGGGGGCTGCTGCGGGGCACCCGGAGCCCTCTGCCCAATGGGGCCATGGGAGCGCTCCCAAAAGGCTCCTTGGAGGGGCGTTCAGAAACAAGGATGAAGCAGGGATCTGGGACAGCTGGGGACACGCCAGCCCCCCCGGTGTGGCCCCACATCCATGGGGACATGCCAGCACAGAGCAGCCCCGACGCCTGTCCCCCCTGCCAGCACTGTCCCTGCTCCACTCACAGCTCTGGGGGTCCCTGCCCATCCCACCCGGGGGACACCAGGCATCGTGCCCCGGCAGCCCCCACGGCCCTGCAGAGCCCCAGGGCTGTGTGAGGGGCCGGCCCTGCCCTCCCCACGGCTCTGGCAGGTGCAGGAAAGCATCCAGCAGCTCCAACATCTTCCTAAGGTTACCGTCCCAGAGGTGGTGGTGGGTGGACATCCCCAGGGGCTCACAGGGGGCCAGGTTCTCTGGCACAGTGTGAGCTCCCTGTGGCCTTCCTGATTCCCGGTTTATTTTGTTTGGATTGATATGTATTGCGGCTGGAGTCTTTCTTGCCGTGTATATCAGGGAAAGGCTCTTCTCAGCTTGCTGCGATGTCCAGCTGTTGGAAAGCCACCTTTCTCAGCTTCAAGTGTGCAAGACCCTCAGTGAGTAACTGAGGAGATCTTGGGGATGTTTTTAGCGTACTACTGTTTTGATCAGTCAATAAAAATCGGCTTTCACTCCCGGGCTCTCCGCCGAGGTCTCGCGTGAGTGGGGAGAGG